ACACTCTAACCAACATATTTTTATAGTATATTCAGGTTTTTAATCAGCCTTATTTAGCATAACTATCAAGTGAATATTTATCTCTTTTCTGTGATTTGTTACCGTAAAGTTTTTCTTAATATGTGTGAAACTACTGCTTGCCTCGACTAACTGTTGCTATCTGCGAGCAGTAGATGTCAAGCTGTAAATATAACAGTACAACTGAATTGACTTGAATTGAATTAATATGAGTTTATGAATTCTAAACTGACAATATTTAAAACATAAATACTCTAACCAACATCTTTTTTACATCAAAACCAGGTTTTTAGTCAGCATTTCTGAGCATAATAATGAGAACTCTCTTTTAATAGGTAAAAGTAAAATTGAAATCCTAGAAATTATCTGACCTCTGTAGCAGTGTGACAGTTTCTATTCTACACTGAAACGGAATAGTTCCGTTGAGTAATCTTTGGTTACATGTATGAGTCAATGTTTTAAGATTGCTTAAAAACCCGCTGGAAGAGTTCATTTTATCAACTTCATTTCTGATATAAATTTTTCCGTGTCTCTTGCTTCCTCACCCTGTATGTTTCTGGATCAAAGAATATAAAGTCTTCATTGCTCTTAGGTCGGTAAGAGCTAAATCTTACATCACATTTTGATAGTTTCCAACAAACTTCTCCACAGTCACTTTTTGTGCATTTTCAAGGAAAAATAAATGTATTTAAAGTTGCAATCAATTTTTATAAGATGAGAGAGCAATAAGATTCAATAACATTCCCTATAAAATAATAAACTGCGATAGTCGTATCTCGATATCTACTGCTAATAGTGACAGATATACAACTCCCTCTGACACTCAGCCTGATTGTCGGTGAATGTTGTAGCATCCAATGCCCTGATTCTGATTCTTCGAGCAACGCCCATTCAAGACAAAGATAGCTTTAATTAGCTGCATTCAAATCAACAACGGATATCGAACAGGGAAACATCATTCGCTGAAGAATTTGTCTAAATATTCGTATGTACTAACCACGCCATTGAACTACTGAGGGAAAATGGTTAAGTTAAACATTTTCATCTGGCACTCTTCCCCTACATCATGCCTGACTAAAGTATCCTTTGTTGGAACACATACATATTGGGGTGGATGCCATACTTCAAAGCCCACATTGTTTGTGATACTTATTCCGTTCTTACTCGCCAGCATGCCAACGTAAACATCGTCCAGTCTGAAGAACGGCAAAGAAGAGAAAGTGTCAACAAATGCGCGCACAACATCGTGAGATAAAATGTATCCAAAACCGGGGCAAAAGTCTGGATATCTTGTCTCGTTATACTCCTCGTAAGTTACCATCCATTTGCCTTTCCTATGAGGGCCCATGTTTGCATAATGACAGCCAGCATAAAGCATCTTCTTCGGCGTGGTGGGTGCGCTTAAGAAGGAGAGAACTCTTGGAACGTGCACGAAAACGTCGTCATCCAATTTCAAAAGAAACGAGAAATTGCAATACGTTACTGCCCACTCGAAGCCCATTTGTATCTTTCGGGTTTGATTCCAGTAGTGGTCATAATAGCTAGCTCGAACGAGGTCCTTAAGAGCTTCATCTTCGTCAAGCAACACGTTCGAAACTGTTTCATTCCGTGTTTGAGCGACAAGAAAAACGGACGTCCATCTTGGTTTTGCGGATCTTTCAAATGCCCATGTCTTACGAATGTTATTCCTTCTTTCGAAGTTACCTGGAGCGGATGAGATAATGATAAGAAGATCGTAATGTTGCATACAAGATCTCCTGGTTATAAGAAATGATTTGTAATTAACTTGCGAAGTAGAAGTTGTCGTGTGATTCATTGTCAGTTCTCGTAATTGCAACCGCTGCATATGGCTTTCGACATCTGGTTGTTCACGAACAATGTCAGAAAAGGAGGAACGAGTACTCCATATAAGACCTAGCTGGAAAGATACACAAATTGCCATCACAAAAGCTAAAACCGTTAAAACTCTTTTTCCACGAATTCTGATCATTGTATTCCGGCAAACCCGATATAATTGGGTATTCAAGTCAAGTCAAGTCGACGGTGTGTACAACTGCCTGCAGGCGTCGCCTAAAGCGAAACCTAACGCATGCTCATTTGCCGAGAACACGTGAATAAATCTCAAACAGTGCAAAATATTTAAATTAAATTGATTGAGGTCGGCGAAAGCACAACAAAGCAAAGCGGCGGAAAGGTGAAGAGAAAGTCGCAACGATTTGATTTAGAGTTTGAGGGAGAATGCTTAAAAAAAAGAAATAACACAGAAAGTAACAAAAAGACTGGGAAAAAGTCTACAAGTATTGGGCTTCCAAAGGCGAGTATGAAAGTATGAACTGAAAGCCCTGAACGGGACTTCTTAAGAAACTTGCTGCACTTGACTGTAGTGTACTACCTCTACAGAGGGGCAGGTCTGATCTGTTTGACGACGGGATGAACTTTTAGGTGGTTCAGGATGGATGATAACGTGAAAGCGCTTGCACTTGAACTACTGTCTCTTCTTTGTGATCTTGAAGGACTGTGTTTACATCGTTACGCTCGGATTACAGCAAAAGCCCTGTGCTCAAACATTCAAAATGAGGCACAGGATGGCATACAAACGAATGCAGCAGCATGCACGTTGACATAATGGGCTGACACGAAGCCTTAAAACGGATGTTACTAAAAGCGGGAATGAGCAATGGGGAATGGGAAAATCAGATGGGAAAATAAAATTGCAAAATGGAAAATGGGAAATTTATTGTTTATAATGCGGAGTAGACTATCTGAAGTCACTATCTGAAGCTTAGCGAGTAACGAGTATAATTTATATGGTAATGTCAATTAATTTTCTAAAAGAGGGAATAATTTTTATTAACATCAACAATCGAGGCTCTGGTCGGGTGTTCGTTCACATTTTAACCCTTTAACTCCCACAAATGATGAACAAATAACTTCTCCCTACAATATACATGCACTATCCAGCAAATAGGTAATGAGAATTCTCAAATGTATCAGGTCGAAGTTGTTATCTTGATCTAACACCAAATTCTCGCAACTTATTTACAAGGAAATGTGTAACAGCCAGAGGGGAGAATTAACAATCAGATCTTGGGAGTTAAAGGGTTAAAGATGAGTTTACTCATATTTGCGGGAAACCCATGGAAGTTCAAGAGTCTGATGCATCACGTGCTATTAATATTTACGGCAGAGATATCAGATTGGCGCGTCCTATGGTCGTTAGCTTGCAAAGTGAAACAAGTGGTTTGTGTCTGATCAAGAAAACCCCTATTAGGGCCGGGTCGCATTTAGTTGAATTCAAATATTTTTCCACTTTTTCACAAAGCGAAAATTGGTAAAGTTCTTGCACTTTCCAAATTTGTGGGGATCGCATCAAACTAATATCCTGGCTTCAATACTTGCTGCGGAAGAAGAATTTCTCGTTGAAGCTATATGTTCTCCAAATTGCTGCCAGTATAACCATACCCAGGGTAAAGTCACAGACACTTGATGTACGATATCGGGTCCTTCAAACATTGACGAAAATGGCGATTTACAAAAGTCTGGCAAGTTTTCCAATTACCAATTCCCATTCTCCATTCCCCATTCTCCATTCTCCATTCTCCATTCACCATTCTCTATTCTCCATTCCTCATTCACCATTTCCCATTCTCTATTCCTCATTCTCCATTCTCCATTCTTCATTCTCCATTCTCTATTCCTCATTCTCAATTCTCTATTCTCTATTCCTGATTCTCCAATCTCCATTCCTCATTCTCCTTTCTCCATTGTCCATTCATTATCCTCCACTCTCCATTCTCCATTCCTCATTCTCCATTTACCATTCTCCATTCTCAATTCTCAATTCTCAATTCTCAATTCTCCATTTTCCATTCTCCATTCCTCATTCTCCACTCTCAATTCTCCATTCTCCATTCTCCATTCTTCATTCTCCATTCTCAATTCTCCATTCTCCATTCTCCATTCCTCATTCTCCATTCTCAATTCTCCATTCTCCATTCTCCATTCCTCATTCTCCATTCTCCATTCTCCATTCTCAATTCTCAATTCTCAATTCTCCATTCTCCATTCTCCATTCTCCATTCCCCATTCTCCATTGTCCATTCCTCATTCTACATTCTCCATTCTCGATTCTCCATTCCTCATTCTCCATTCTCCATTCTCCATTCTCAAATCTCAATTCTCCATTCTCCATTCCTCATTCTCCATACTCCATTCTCCATTCTCCATTCTCCATTCTCAATTCTCAATTCTCCATTCTCCATTCTCCATTCCTCATTCTCCATTCTCCATTCTCAATTCTCCATTCTCCACTCTCAATTCTCAATTCTCCATTCTCCATTCTCTATTCACCATTCTCCATTCTCCATTCACCATTCTCCATTCTCCATTCACCATTCTCCATTCTCCATTCACCCTTCCCCATTCTCCATTCTCAATTCTCCATTCTCCATTCTCCATTCACCATTCTCCATTCTCCATTCACCATTCCCCATTCCCCATTCTCCATTCTCAATTCTCCAATCTCAATTCTCCATTCTCCATTCTCCATTCCCCATTCTCCATTCTCCATTCTCCATTACCATTCTCCATTCTCCATTCTCAATTCTCAATTCCCCATTCTCCATTGTCCATTCCTCATTCTCCATTCTCCATTCTCAATTCTCCATTCTCCATTCCTCATTCTCAATTCTCCATTCTCCATTCCCCATTCTCCATTCTCCATTCTCAATTCTCCATTCTCAATACTCTATTCTCCATTCTCCATTCTTCATTCTCCATTCTCCATTCTCAATTCTCAATTCTCAATTCTCAATTCTCCATTCTCGATTCTCCATTCCTCATTCTCCATTCTCCATTCTCAATTCTCCATTCTCCATTCTCAAATCTCAATTCTCCATTCTCCATTCCTCATTCTCCATTCTCCATACTCGATTCTCCATTCTCCATTCTCCATTCTCCATTCTCCATTCTCAATTCTCAATTCTCCATTCTCCATTCTCCATTCTCCACTCTCAATTCTCAATTCTCCATTCTCCATTCACCATTCTCCATTCTCCATTCACCATTCTCCATTCTCTATTCTCCATTCACCATTCTCCATTCTCCATTCACCCTTCCCCATTCTCCATTCTCAATTCTCCATTCTCAATTCTCCATTCTCCATTCTCCATTCTCCATTCACCATTCCCCATTCTCCATTCTCAATTCTCCAATCTCAATTCTCCATTCTCCATTCCCCATTCTCCATTCTCCATTCTCCATTCTCCATTACCATTCTCCATTCTCCATTCTCCATTCTCCATTCTCCATTCTCCATTCTCCATTCTCCATTCCTCATTCTCCATTCTCCATTCTCCATTCCCCATTCTCCATTCTCCATTCTCCATTCACCATTCTCCATTCTCCATTCTCCATTCTCCATTCTCCATTACCATTCTCCATTCTCCATTCACCATTCTGCATTCTCCATTCTCCATTCTCCATTTACCATTCACCATTCCCCATTCTCCATTCTCCATTCTCAATACCCCATTCTCCATTCTCAATTCTCCATTATCCATTCTCAATTCTCCATTCTCCATTCTCAATTCTCAATTCTCCATTCTTCATTCTCAATTCTCAATTCTCAATTCTCAATTCTCAATTCTCCATTCTCAATTCTCCATTCTCCATTCTCCATTCTCCATTCTCCATTCTCCATTCTCAATTCTCCATTCTCCATTCTCAGTTCTCAATTCTCCATTCTCCATTCTCCATTCTCAATTCTCCATTCTCCATTCTCAATTCTCCATTCTCAATTCTCCATTCTCAATACTCCATTCTCCATTCTCCACTTTCAATTCTCAATTCTCAACTCTCCATTCTCCATTCATCATTCTCGATTCTCCATTACCATTCTCCATTCACCATTCACCATTCTCCATTCTCCATTCACTATTCCTCATTCTCCATTCTCCATTCTCCATTCTCAATTCTCCATTCTCAATACTCCATTCTCCATTCTCCATTCTCCATTCTCAATTCTCAATTCTCCATTCTCAATTCTCCATTCTCAATAGTCTATTCTCCATTCTCCATTCTCCACTTTCAATTCTCAATTCTCAATTCTCCATTCTCCATTCCTCATTCTCCATTCTCCATTCCTCATTCTCCATTCTCCATTCAACATCCCTTGCGAAATGGCTTTTGGAATTCCTAGGAATTCCTAGGATTTTCCTAGGAATTCCTAGGAATTTATTCCTAGGAATTCCTAGGAATTCCTAGGAATTCCTAGGAATAAAGGTGTGAATTTTCACGGTAAATTCGGACTGGGAATTCCTAGGAATTCCTAGGAATTCCCAACCATAACAACTCTGGTTCTAAAAACCTAGAAATTCCTAGAAATTCCCAGAAATTCCCAGAAATTCCCAGAAATTCCCAGAAATTCCAAGTTTATAGCCAACAGGACTTGGAATTCCTAGGAATTCCTAGGAATTCCAACTCAGAGAACCAATGACTTTCCCTGAAAAGCTGTAAATCTAAAAAATTCCTAGGAATTTCTGGGAATTTCTGGGAATTTCTGGGAATTTTTGGGAATTTTTAGGAATGTTTAAGAGTTACTGGGAATTTTAAGGAAAAATTTGAGGCTAATGATATAAAATAAATACTTTAAATTAAAAAAAACCCAGCTAAAATTCAAGTATTCAATGAAATTTATTTAGAAGCTTAATTAAGGCTTACATGTAAAATATTTTTGATTAATTAACATCAATGTGTGGTAATATTAGGATTGAATTTGATTTATTTTTCTTTTCTTGAAAACTTCATACGGATTAATCCTCAATTACAGCTATTCATATAAAATAGTTCTAATCAATCATTAAATTTGGTTTGACACAAATTGTGAATAAAATCTGTTGATTCTTTTCCATAAAATACAATATCTTAAGTTATATTTGAAAACCAAGCACTCTTGGGAGTGAAGGGGCTAATTACAGACAAATAAAATTGATTTTTTGATTAAAATCTTGTTGTAACTGTAACAATAAATTAGAATGAAGTTATCCTAAACTGCAAAC